ATTTTGTAGGCAGATACTTAGAGATTATGTAACACCTCATTGTTTATCCAACTTTTACCCATTGATGTTAGTACTGATTAATGTTTCTTGCCTGAATTATCTTTCAGATGGTTGCCAAGTAGTGATTTTCTAATTCCATCATCCTTCTACTTTTACTAGTTGGCATTCTACTATAAAGTAATGCTGTCTCTTCTCCCCATGAATTGAGCACATTCCACATTCCATTAGATCCCAGTGAAGTAAAATATTCCTATTTTATTCAGTAAAATAATCTGTTACTATCATTTTTGATTTTGACCCTCAAGATGTCTTAGGGGTAGGCACCTCCTCTGTGTCATTTGATACACACCTACTAGTCTTTGAGCTCTTCCTTACTTTTTGACATATGATACGCTATACCTTGCTTAGTCCCAAACCTGGAATCAACCATTTCTTCAAGGACACCTGGTTCTACTTACTGGAGAATGGTATTTAGAAACCAAAATGTGGGTGCTAGGTGTGCTCATTGTTACCAGGATGTTGCTATTCCCAGGCACTTCCTGTAGACAAAGTTGGGAAGTAAATGTAGGTATATGCACTTAAGTATATGTAAATACAAACAAATATGTATTTATTTCTATTACATCTACACATATTTCTATTATTGAAAGTCATGAGATCACACCAACACCTCCAATTTAATTCAACACAACAAGGTTCATTCTAGCTTTCCCTATGCTATCTCTGTGATGCCTATGTCCATTAGAAAGAAGGCTGACTTGAATATATATTTTTTCAATATATTTTCAATATATTTAATTATTTTCTCAATACCCTGCCTCCACCTTGTATGTAACAAATCTTCTGACCCTGCCAGGCCACTGCCCACTCAGCCCCTTTCTTTAATCATGCTTCGATACTTTCCAGGTGAACTCCCAACTTAGCTGTCCTTGTCATACGGGTCTTAGCTGTTCTCTTTGTATGGTTCATGGCTTCTTAATTGAATCACCAGAAAAAGAAAAGAGGTGCAGTAGGAAAGCCTATGTTATTTTTGTAGTCTAATATTTCCATTGATCACATTAAAAATTTGTGTGGATTAAAAATCCACAAACATTAAAAATATGATTTATTTCTTTCTTTTGTGATGGGGTCTCACTCTGTTGCCCAGGCTGGAGTGCAATGGCATGGTCTTGACTCACTGCAACCTCCACTTCCTGGGTTCAAGTGATTCTACTGCCTCAGCCTCCTGAGGAGCTGGGATTACAGATGTGCACTGCCATGTCTGGCTAATTTTTGAATTTTTAGTAGAGATATGGTTTCACTGTGTTGGCCACGCTGGTCTTAGGTCTTGAATTACTGACCTCAAGTGATCCAGCTGCCTCAACCTTCTGAAGTACTGGGATTACAGGCATGAGCCACCATGCTTGCCCAAAATATTATTTCTTTTTTCAAAGTTATGATGCCATATGGGTATATGTACATATTATTATTTCTAAGGTTATATAGTGAATTATTTATTGAGTTGAATTTTGAGTCACTTTGAAAGCTATTTAAAAGCTGCATGAAAATAAAATACATTAAGGCAGAAATGAAAAATAAATGGGCTGGTAATAGAAACATGTCAATTAAAGTAGCATTTTAAAAAACTGTTTTGAAGTAAATCAATGACAACACTTAACTTGGACTCTGGGCAAAATTTTATAAAATGGAACTGCTTTCTTTGTCTTCTGCCTCCTCTAAATGCTCTGAGATTATAAAGATTAATGTAAATTTTGATATAGGAAATGTCTTCATAACCTCAACCACTGGGGAAGATCACCTGACAATCATTACTCCAAAAAATATATTTACAATATTTAAGTTGAACATAAGTACCAAGCTTATATTGTATTGCTTCTCTAATAAAAGCATTTTCCTAATCATTTTTATTAAAATGACATTTTACCTTTATTAATGACAACTTATTTTTAAATATTAAAATATCTTTCTGGAGAGGAATTTTACCTCTGGCCATAAGTGAGTAACTAGTATCCTTCTTACCCCCAAACCACTGCCCTAAACAATCATAAGCCTGCCTAAATAGGACAAAATATTTCTTTTCATGTATTAAACAACAGGTAGCTCAAGGCCGCGATCCTTTTGAGATGGGGAACAACCAAAGGAGACCTCCACACACACTACAGCTCTCTGATAAAAGCAAGAGGTATTTTTAAGATATGATCAGGGAGGTCAATAAAGTGAAATAATGGGCTTGCTGAGAGTTGGCAGCAAATCGGAGTTCAGGGTTGCATACATGGCTGGAAGATGTGCAGCGGGGTACCAGAGAAGAGTTAGCTGGGCAACAGCAAAATATATAAGGGATGTTGGCTTTGACCACAAGTTTGATAAGTCCACTTCATAACATATATGCCAAATCAGTTAATGCAAATTTACACCATGTGAGTAGAAGCACTTTGAGCGGAACAGAGAAGGTGACAGAGTGATTCCATTCTATTTGGAGTGGGTCATAACACACTTAGAGAAATGTAGTGACTTTGGTTTGCCACATCTTCAGTACACAGATTTAAAAATTCTATGGTGATTTTATGATGATCCCCGCTATTCAGCTTTTTAATAATTTAAGATTTCACACTCTTGTGAGTGTGATCAGGCCTGACCAAGATATATAACTGCCCTGAGCAACTTCCAATCAATAATCCTCAACTAATTATTCTATTTACTTAATGGGAATGGGAGAAACTAAAAAGTTTCTATTTCTTTATATAAAATGTGTGTGTGTATACAAATACACATGGAATATATATATTCCACTATATATAATATTTATATATATCACAAATATATATTTTGTAAGATGTAAACGATTAAATCTTACAAAACTTGGAAAGTTTGTGAAATGTATTTTTCATCTTACACCTACCTATTATCTAATCAGAATATCATTGTCCAGAATTCTAATGCAATGATTTTTAGGCATAGTTTTGTAATGCTTCAAAATATCTTCAATGAAATTTAAAAGTAGTACAAATTTATTCTCCTAAGTCAGCTGGAAAGAAAATTAATCTCAATTTAAAATTATTTTTGAAACTCCATACTGCATGTAACACTTTCATAAGCATCTCAAATCAAAAAATATTAGCAATAAACAAATTAAGTAAGAAACAAACTAGGTAAATAAGTCCTACAGGTAAAAAAAGAGGATACAAGTATTCTCAATATCAGTGAATAGGTTACTTTTTGCTATTGTTTTAAATAACATTCATGGATTATCTTTAAAGTACCTCACACCAACTAAGTTTTCTTTTTTTTTTTTTTTTTTTTTTTTTTTTTTTGAGTAGGAGTCTGGCTCTGTCACCCAGGCTGGAGTGCAGTGGCCAGATCTCTGCTCACTGCAAGCTCCGCCTCCCGGGTTTACGCCATTCTCCTGCCTCAGCCTCCGGAGTAGCTGGGACTACAGGCGCCCGCCACTCGCCCGGTTAGTTTTTTGTACTTTTTAGTAGAGACGGGGATTCACCGTGTTAGCCAGGATGGTCTCGATCTCCTGACCTCGTGATCCGCCCGTCTCGGCCTCCCAAAGTGCTGGGATTACAGGCTTGAGCCACCGCGCCCGGCCCCAACTAGGTTTTCTTAAAACATTCCTAACTTAAACTATCCACAAGGGGGACATATTGTCAGACACTGCATATTTTCCAAACTGAAAGAAGCCTGTGTCAGCTCCCACTGACTCAACACAACAAAGCATAGATGACGAGACATGGAGCTGCCCACTTCAATTTGTGAGTGGTAAATGGAGATTTTAGCTCAGTTTCTCAAAACATGGCCCAGAAATTAAAATTGTAGCAAACATTTTTGCTGCTTCTTAATACGTTCAGATTGCTGGGCGCCTCCTCTGACCCAAATCAATTCCTATGAAAACTATTGAGCAAGGTCCTAGAAGAGAACAGTCCCTAGGTAAACAATGTCCATTTCACAGGTGGCATTTCTTCACTGGTTTTCTAACAGGAAACAAGATAGGCTACATGCTAGTAAAATCTTCCAATTTTGTGAAATACATATAGTTGTACTCTCAAAATCAAGCTCTATCGTAATCAAAATTGTTGCATAAGGAACTGTTACATCCAGCTTTTAGTAAAAGAGAATTTATTATCCATTTTTCTCCCTTCAATTATTTAAAGTGAACATCAAACCTTAAAAACGCACTCCTCACCACTGCAATCTAAGCTAATGCCAGTGTATGTCATACGTATTCAATAAAATACGAAGCATGGTGGTGCTTGTTTTCTGGTGATTGGACCTAAAGCTTTTAAGAGACATGTTGCTGTCACTTAAAATTCTTCAGCGCAGAACTTGCTGGTGAGTATTAAAGGGTGGGGGTTAGGGGGTACTTGATAAATATCCATTTGAGTTTATTTTCTAATTCTGTAGAAAGTTTACATATATTCCTAATTTTGTTATTATCACTTGGAAAGAATCTTGAGGATTTTAAAATAACAAATGAAAGCAGTATTTATTAAAAACAATTCTTTTATTCTCTCAGGCTAATTGTACTTTATACTCTAGGAGCGTAGAGAGCAAACACACATTCTAAATGTATTTATTTTATGATTCTTTTGATGCAATTAATACACCGCGTTGCAGAAGGTTTATGCTTCTGCCTTTTAAAAAAGTATATAGGATTATGTATAATCAATAATCATTAAACTAAAGGCAAAGAAATCTGGTAGCTCCATCAATTTTATTTCGTTCTTGCATAGATTGCCTTTGTTCACATTTTTGGCAGAAAAAAGAATCAATGCAATTGTAAGACTCTGCACCCCACAATGTGAGCTTCACTTGAAACAATGGTCGTATCGTCCAAGACAGATCATCAGTAAAGTTCAGCAGAAAAACTTGGGAGATCTTGCAAATCTTGTTATGTGAAGCCAGTCCTCCCAAAAGACCTATTCGACCACACCTTTGTCCTCCTCGTCCTTTTTTTGCAGGGTCATTAACTCGCATTATTTTTTGTTGTTGTTGTTCTCTGCAGTTCTCACTTGCTTTTCTTCAGTCTTTGCTAGGTTCTCCGCGATCTCCAATGCAGCCTCTTCCACTAGACGCGATTCTGCCTCTCTCAGACGCTGACACGTAACCTCCCCCGATCCCCACCCCAAGCCCTCACCCAAGACCAAGAACAGCTACAACTGCTTCTGGGAGACGTGGGGGGCGGGGGCAAGGCGGGAGCACCTCGCCCCTCCCGCTAACTCTCGCCGCCGGTCAGTAACCCCTGAACTGGATGGGACCATGGGAGTCTCTCCCCAAGGGCCTCCACTTCTGACCACGGCCCGCACGCCCCACCCCTGCCCAGCACCCTGGCAACCCCCGGGACGCTTTGCTGGTGCCAAGCTTCAATCTCTTGTTCTCATTTTCTCGTGTCCTCCCGCTCTTTCTTCTACTGTATTTTTGTCAATTCTTTAATGGCGAGGAAAAAAAAAAAAAAAAAAAAAAAAAAAACCAAAAAACACCAGCTCAGAGCTATAGTCTCCTTCCATAAATACGTGTGTGCTTTTCAGAACCTTTCTCTGTCCCTTTCTCCTGCTAACACATGTCGGGTCTGCAGTGCAAAGGACTCTCCTTTCGTCCAGTGACCAATGGCAGTCTCTCAGTTTGCCAATTTCATTCATCACGCCCGCACCTACTGAAGCCTACTCCTCACCAGTTCAGCTTTCTTCCAGTTAATCGTATTAACTGCTAAGCACCTCCTCCGCCTCTTCGGGTTTTATTACCGCCCTCATTAAAAAAAAAAAGAAAAAGAAAAAGAAAAGAAAAGAAAAAGAAAAAAGAAAATCCAACACGAACACGCAAGACAGCATGAATTCAAGAAAGAAAGTGTGCGTGTGCAACACAGTCTGAGTGTGTGCATCCGTATGCATCGCCTGCCTCAGCCTGCCCGGGTACTGAACATGTGGCTGAGAGGTGCACGACAGTCAGAGGGCTCAAACTTCCGCTGCCAGGCTGAGGCTGGGCCCTCCCAAGCTCACCTGTCTGCGTTCAGGTAACTGGCTAAGTGCCCGCCCGGCGGCGTTCCAGGACACCTGGCCGGGACAGAGCGAATGCCAGTGAACCCCAGGGCGCCCCCTCCCGCGCGTTCGTTCTCTAGCCCTCCTTCCCTGGGAGGGATGGGGTGGGGGGTGTTCTGTTTTCACTACTGCACCCCTTCCCCTAAAGACAACGGGACTACCCTCCTCCACAGCGCCTTACCTCAAACAGGGGACCGATCTTGTTCTTCTCCAGGTAAGCCTGGATCCGGGTTTGCGGATGAGACGCCATGGGGAGCAGATGGGACCGCGGAGAGAGTGCGGGGAGAACGCGCGGCTGTGCGCCTCCGCTGGGGACAACCCTCCTTTTACCCTGACTGGGGCCGGGACAGGAGCTCCGGAGCCTCGGCTGCCCTGCGTGGCTGGCTCGGCCCCGGCCGCGGCCGTGAGTGGCAGCCCGGGGAGCCACGCGCGCGTGGGGCGCTGAGAGCCGGAAGCCTGGGCGCAGCGCCGCCAACTCAGACAACTCCGAGGCTAGGGGAGAACTCATTCATCGCGTTCTCCGCCTCGCGCCCACCCTCGCCGCTCTCCGCAGCGCCAGGCGCAGTGGAGAAATTCGAGGCAGAGGTTCCTTTCTCCTCTGGGCGGCAGCAGCAGGAATCGGGGGCGGGAGGCGAGCCGTGCCGAGGGGCGCACGCGGGCGGACAGGGGACGCGGGGCTCGAACTCGCCGCCAGCGTCTGTGCGTGCGTGTGTGTGTGTGTCCGTGCGCGCGCGACTGTGTGTGCCTGCTCTCCCAGGTGACGGGAACAAACAGCCCGGGCTTCTTCCCGAGGCTGCTTGCTCTACCAGCCGCTCCCTAGCGACAGCGCCGCTTAAAAAGCCAATGGTGAAGGTGCTTCTTTCAAAGTGCACATAAATCTGGTGCTTGTTGGCTACTCCTTGGCAGCTACAAATGCAGTTCTAAAGGCGATCGTCCCCACCGCCCCTTCTGAGCCTCTCCTCAGCACCTTCTGCCCTGCCTACACTAGCGCGGGGGTTGAGAAGGGCAGAGTTGTGAGAAAGTGCGTGGGTTCAAGGGTTTGCCGCGAAAAAAGAAGTTGCCTTCGTTTTCAAAATCTGGCTTGGCCTGGAGCAAGTCGACGGGTGAATGCAGCCTGAGAACCCAGCTGAAAACTCCCAAAGTGCGGGCGCTCAAAGGCTGGAACCAGCCCTTCAGCATTTGACAGGGAGAAGAGAAATGAGCGAGCCAGCCCTCCCCTCCAAAGTTGGCCTTCCTAATCCACTCCTTGAGTCATGTCTGTATACCTATAACTGCATCTTAGACGCCACAGTATCCCACTTAACAATGTTTCCTCTAGATACTGCGTGAGCTGCTCAACTTTAGCCAATACCTTTCTTATTATGCAGGGATTTCAGAGTCGAAGATTTGCAGATAGCCCAGGCTTCCTCACAGAGCTCGCTTTCTTGTGAAACACAACACTGAGGTCCCAATGACAATTTCCCTGGCTCCTAATCGTGATATGCTGCCAAAATTAGATTTATTTTTAATAAATATGAATGTTCAGAATGATGGAAATAGTTTTCCTAAAAGCTGACTGCAGCAGTATATATTTTCTTTCTTTCTTTCTTCACTGTGTTCTGAATTTCTGTTACTCATAGTTTCTTTATTGGTGTTCATGCTTTCCTTCTGTATTTTAAATATGTGGAAACATGTAATAGTTAGATAATAGTGGAATATCCCAGGAACTATTGTTAATTTCGTATATTAAGATATAAGAAATCTGCTAGAATAGCTAGGAGCTTAACCATCCCTGATAACCTGAAATGGACATGATCCAGGGTGGAAAGATGTCCACATTAATACTTTTAAAATCGGACTCATGATCTGCCTAGGGAGAGTTAAACTAAACAACAGTGAGGTGCCCAGGGTTGCCTCATGCTTTCCATTGTGGTTCGAAGGTATATTTGCTTATGTATTTTTTAATGTGTCTAGGATAAATTAAATAACAGAGTGAATACCAACATTTCTATTTGCTAAAAGGTATAGTGTAGAGCCATAAGGAAGGCCATCTATGACCCAACTAAAAAGCCTACTATTTTTGATACCACATAAGGTACCAAGATGGTACCCTTCCTGAAATCAAGAGTCTTTTTCTTTAAAGAGGCATCAGGAGGATGCTTCTTTAAATGAAATAAAGATACTTATTAAGTCTTCACCATGCTCAGACTATTGCACTTAGGGCTTTGAATAGAAGAGACAAAGCTTCAGCTGGCAAAATGTGTGTGTTTTAAAGAGAGAATTAAGCCAAGTGTAGAGGTTCATGTCTGTAATCCCAATTATGTGGAAGGATCACTTGAGGCCAGAAATTTGAGACTGGGCAACATAAAAAGACTCCATTTCTAAAACAATTTTGTTTTAATTAGCTGGGCATAGTGGTGCACACTTATAGTTCCAGCTTCTGGGTAAAATGAGGCAGCAGGACCCTTGAGTCCAGGAGTTTGAAGCTGCAGTGAACTATGAGTGCGCCACTGCTCTAGGCTGGGCCATACAATAAGACTCAGTCAAAAGAAAGAAAGGAAGAAAGAGAGAGACAGAGAGACAAAGAAAGAAGAGCATCATGAGGATATGCACACCCACTTATGTATGTTAAAACTCTGAGCATCCCCAAATTGCACATTTAAAATTCAGGGAATATTTTCAAAGCTTTTCAAGTTCAACATTAAATATTACCTCCTTCATAAAGCACTTCTTGGTTCTTTCTCTTATCCCTAAACATGACTTCATTACTACAATAAATATTTATTGCGTAGCTTCTCGATGGCAGGCATTATGTTAAGACTGAGAATTCAAAGGTGAAAGGCTTTGTCTTTGTCCTCAGTTGCTTAGTCTTGTTGAGGCAATCGGCATATATATAAATAATGGCATTAGATGCTGGGCATGGTGGCTGACACCTGTAATCCCAGCACTTTGGTAGACCAAGACAGGAGGATCACTTGAGCCCAGTAATTTGGGAGCAGCCTGGGCAGGATAGCAAGACCTCGTCTCTGTTAAAAATAAAATAGTAGTCTCAGCTACTCATGAGGCTGAGGTAGGAGGATCTACTGAGCCCAGGAGTTTGAGGTTGCAGTAATTGCACCACTGCACTCCAGCCTAAACAAAGCAAGATTCTATCTCTTTAAAAAAAAAAAAAAAAAAAAAAAAATAGCATGTACGGAGGCACAGAGACACACAACAGGCTGGTAGTTAAAGATATGTAAAGTACATGTGGAGGAGTATTATTATCATGTGAGGTTAAAAATGTAAGCAGAGTTCAGCTCATTGAAAGTCTTAAATGCCTTGTTAAGAACAATCGACTTACATCTTGTGGATAATGAGAAGTGATTTGTTAGGCTACAGAATCTGTAACAAATGATGGGGTTATTGTTAGGACTTAAGATGTAGGGTTAAAGAGGATGGGATGGATTCCAGACATAGTTAAGGACTAATGTGTTCATTAACTAAATGAAGGATGAGGTTAGAGGAGGAAATCAAAGATGACACTATGATTTCTAACATGAAGCTAAGAGATGACAAATTATTTACCCAAGTCACCCAATTTATCATTGGTAGGACAAGGTTTTAGTTCAGGTTTTTCTAACTCTAAAGCTGAAGCTATTTCCCGTCTCTATCCTGTAACCTGGAAACTAGTCAAAAATTCGAGTTTATAGATATTAGCACCCCTTTGTGGGAACAGCTATGTCTCATGACTTGACACATGGTACATACTTCAGAAACAGCAATTAAATGAATGAATTGAATTTTAGAATATCAATTCAATCCAGCTATGTTCTTTCAGTCTAAACTTTGCCTCTGACTCATGGCATTTATACTCTGTTTTGTTTCCTTTAGTCAATTGCATGCATATTTTGGTCCCTCTTTTAAACTGCAAACTCTCTAAAATCATGAACTGTATCTTAATAATTTTCTTATACTTTACAGTGTGTAACACAGTATATTTTCACATAGTTAGGTTCATCATGAAATATCTTTAATTAAGATCCTATTACTGTATGTTTTAAGATTTGTATTACATAGTCCCTTTAATATTGGCTGAAAGGTAACCATTGTCTTGGATTGAATTTATCAATCTTTTTTTCTGCACATATGCCATGGTACCTTTATGATCCTTTCCCCATTTTTGGCTTGAATACAGCATGAAAAGGCCATTTTCAGTGAGACTGTTTTGATCTCATTGTGTTATAGAAGTGCCTGTCAGCATAATTTACAGACGTACAGAATCCAATTTATAGAATGCACTAAAGCCATTGTCCAACTCCATTTGTAAGACACCTTGCACAGCTCCTTACACAGATAGGTTTCAGAGAGATGAGGGAACAATGGTGAAGTCCAGTTGACCCAGTTAGGAAGTATTAGCAATGTAATCCATTGAAATTAATTAAATATTGAAGTCAGAGAGCAGAATGTTCTCTATGGATTTCTTGAATTTAGACTTCTATCCCTGAAGCATACTTATCCTCTTTCTGTTTCTCTTTCACCTTGCCACTTTGTAACAAAAAAGAAAAATTATCTTTCCAAGGAACCCAGCACATATGAATAATCTGGCCGTAAAAGGGAGGTGCACATAGAGAGTTAGTTTTCTTCATTTTTGCCCGAAATGCCTCTCACAACTAATGCAAATGGACTCACATACAGCATTTACTATGTACTAGGTATTGATAACAGCACTTTATACACTCCCTCAACTCATTTAATTCTCAAAACAACATCATGAAGTAGGTACTACTATTATCCCCATTATTTTAGATGAGGAAACTGAGATGCTTACCAGATAAGTAACTTGCCCAAGGTCATAGCTAGTAAGTAGCAGAGTATCTTGAACCCCAATGGTGTATTAAACTCCCAAATCCCCACTACCAAGGTTGCAAGAGTACCACTTCCCTTTGTTTTGCATTAGTTCGGAACAAGCTGCGTTTTGATGACTAATTCGACTTCCCCAGTGTGTGGGTATGGGAAAGGAAGTAGTATGGGTAGCAGATAGCAGGGTAACTTTCTGGCTCCATACTAAATGAATATGTTGTCTATTGTGAGTTTGAATAATAGCTAATCAACCACCTTGGAACTGATTTTTTTTTTCTTTTTCGAGACAGAGTCTCACTCTGTCCCCCAGGCTGGAGTGCAGTGGCACGATTATAGTTCACTGCAGCCTCGACATCCCAGGCTCTTGCAATCCTCCCACCTCAGCCTCCTGAGTAA